CGCTCATTCTCTCACTCATATTTACTGAAACACTCTTTGTGAATGGATAACTTTGCATGCGGGGTTGTCCGGTCCTTTGGCCAGGGCTATCCTTTCAAAAATTGACCAGCTCCCAAGCCCCTGCTGCTTCGGGGTTGGTTTCAGGGCTCCAGGCTCTAGTTCTCAAGGCCCGGGGCAATTCTCTTTGGAACCCCACCCTTAAAGAAAAGACCCTAGGCCGGGATTTCTTGTTATTGAGGAGGTTTGCAATTGAGTTCCGGGATCCGAATTCTTTAATGACGGGGGGGTTTATAAATGTGAGGTTTATGCGTGTCTTCGTTGGACCACATATTCTCCCGGCGATTCCCTTCCGTGAGTGGAATTTCATAGACAGAGTTCTTCAATGGGAGAACGAGTTGTAAACACAGACCAGCCTGTTTGGAGAACCCGAGTACATGGCAGCTCAGGAGGGGAGTTTGGGCACTCATCAGGGGCATTTAGAGCACGGGGGCTAGGGGTGTGCGTTTGGGGTTCAGGGTGGGCTGTACCATCGTTGAGCGTTGTGAACCGCGAGCCTCGGCGAATCCAAGTCTATGGTGCGGGCGCCGAGGGCGCATGGGACGCCTGCGGAGCTGGCATGCAGGCCCCAACTACACCCCGAGCCCTAACCTCGAGCCCCAAACCCTAAACCCTAAAACAGAAACCCTAGACCCTACACCAGCTTGTCTTGCCCCGGCCTGGAAGGGCAACCAACAACTCTTTGTCTGCCATAGTGCCAGCTTTGGGCCGATGAACTCCATGACGCCCCATTCCTGGATGTGGATCCCGAAAGTGGCTGTGATAGTGTGTATATATATATAGTTCTTCAATGTATTTATTTATTTATTTACATACATACATACATACACTATTGTGTTTTGGGGGTAGCAAGAAACGGGCCACACTCTTTAGAAAAGTCTAGATATCATCAAGAAGTCTAGAGATGCCTGCCTATTTCTGCCCTGTGGCCTTGCGCTGTTAGCCGGCTCTTGGCATTGTGAAAATTGCTCTGCATGAGTGTCCCGTAGGGGCTTTTCAGAAGGCTACCCAAGAGGAGCCTTACTTGGAAAGAACCCATGTAGGGTTTGGGATAGATATTGAGGGCTTAGGGGCCCTAAACCCTGACCCACAGCGCCAAGCCTTGTCCAAGACTGCTTTGATCTCGCGAACAAGGTCACGCCTGGCCTGCTGAGATCTGATTGAGCACACTGTGGCCTAGACTCCACGTTTGACCTATATAGTTGTACCTTTACTCATGGACTTCTCGGCCGGGCAGCGGTGCCTGCGATGCATTCTCGCCCTCGACCGGAAATACCTGTCGCAGGGTTGAGCACAGGGTCATCCTGTTAGCCGAACCTCAAGGGACTCAAGAAGGAGGGACCCGTATAAGGGACCTGAGGGGTTACTTAGGGGTTTTCTTTAGGGTCTCTGGGTCCCTCCCTATACTCCCTAAGAACCTCGAACGCGCAGCCTCAGAGATACTACGGATGGAGGGTGCAGCCCCAGAGCCTCGTAGGCAAAGGTAATCGTCAGCATCTCCCGTGGGACCGCAGCGTTTCGCAGCCCACTGGCCTGCTCAGAAGAGACAAGGTGATAGAACTTAGGTGGGTTTAGAGTTTTGGGTTTTGGGTTTGAGGGGCCGCCCGCGAAGTATGAGAGTGGACGCGGTGCAGCGCATTGCCTTCATGCTGAAGAAGTGCAGCCAGCTCGCAAACCCGCCACTCAATCTTCTCTGCCGTACGCAGGCATGTGAGCTCCATGCTCTGTTGCGTCTTCCACATACACGCACAAACATATTACATGTATATCCGCCGATCCGCCGACCCCGGCAACAGCGGGGCGGCGTCAGTGAAGACCCTCCCTGCCCTCACCGCAACCTCTTCCCCCTTCCCCTTCCCAACCATTCCACTCCACCTCTCCACTTGGCCTTGCCTTCCGCCCCTAACCTCCCCTTCCCCTGCCCCTCCCACTACCCTTCCCCTTCCCAACCATTCCACTCCATCCTCCTCCCCTACCCCTTCCCCCATTACACGGCCGGCGCGTCCAAGGCGCACGCGTCCGCGCGTCCAAGGCGCACACAGCTAAACACAGTCTTCCGACCTTCCAGGCCGCACACACGTCTTGTTTTCATTGGTATTTACCACGTATTTTCAAGCCGGAAACTTCGAAACCCAGGGCTTTTAGAGCGCGTGCAGCTTGGAAGTGGCGGGAAGTGCCGTGTGCAGCTTGGAAGTGCCGGGAAGTGCCGCGTGCAGCTTGGAAGTGGCTGGGTTTAGGGTTTATTTCGAAGATCTTGGCACCCAAACGAGCAACACGCTCGTTTGGGTGCCACGACTCGGGTTTGGGGAGTCGGGTTAAGGGTTTAGGGTTCAGGGTTTAGGGTTCAGGGATCAGGGCTTAGGGTTTTTAAGGGTTTACGGTTTAGGTTTTTTTAGGGTTTAGGGTGTTTTAGGGTTTAGGGTTTTTTAGGGTTTAGGGTTTTTTAGGGTTTAGGGTTTTTTAGGGTTTAGGGTTTTTTCAGGGTTTAGGGCTTAAGGTTTTTTAGGGTTTAGGGCTTTTTAGGGTTTAGGGTTTTTTAGGGTTTGGGTTTTTTTTTAGGGTTTAGGGTTTAGGGTTTTTTAGGGTTTAGGGTTTTTTAGGGTTTACGGTTTAGGGTTTTCCGGGTTTTAGGGTCTTGGGTTTTTTAGGGTTTAGGGTTTAGGGTTTTTTAGGGTTTAGGGTTTAGGGTTTTTTAGGGTTTAGGGTTTTTTAGGTTTGGGTTTTTTTTTAGGGTTTAGGGTTTAGGGTTTTTTAGGGTTTAGGGTTTTTTAGGGTTTAGGGTTTAGGGTTTAGGGTTTTTTAGGGTTTAGGGTTTTTTAGGGTTTAGGGTTTAGGGCTTAGGGTTTTTTAGGGTTTAGGGTTTTTTAGGCTTTAGGGTTTTTTAGGGTTTAGGGTTTAGGGTTTTTTAGGGTTTAGGGCTTTTTAGGGTTTAGGGTTTTTTAGGGTTTAGGGTTTAGGGTTTTTTAGGGTTTAGGGTTTTTTAGGGTTTAGGGTTTGTTAGGGTTTTTTCGGGTTTAGGGTTTAAGGTTTTTTAGGGTTTAGGGTTTGTTAGGGTTTTTTCGGGTTTAGGGTTTAGGGTTTTTTAGGGTTTAGGGTTTAGGGTTTTTTTAGGGTTTAGGGTTTAGGGTTTAGGGTTTAGGGTTTTTTAGGGTTTAGGGTTTAGGGTTTAGGGTTTTTTAGGGTTTAGGGTTTTTTCGGGTTTAGGGTTTGTTAGGGTTTTTTCGGGTTTAGGGTTTAGGGTTTTTTAGGGTTTAGGGTTTAGGGTTTTTTTAGGGTTTAGGGTTTAGGGTTTAGGGTTTTTTAGGGTTTAGGGTTTTTTGGTGTTTAGGGTCTTGGGTTTTTTAGGGTTTAGGGTTTAGGGTTTTTTAGGGTTTAGGGTTTTTTCGGGTTTAGGGTTTGTTAGGGTTTTTTCGGGTTTAGGGTTTAGGGTTTTTTAGGGTTTAGGGTTTAGGGTTTTTTAGGGTTTAGGGCTTTTTAGGGTTTAGGGTTTGTTTGGGTTTTTTAGGGTTTAGGGTTTAGGGTGTTTTAGGGTTTAGGGTTTAGGGTTTTTTAGGGTTTAGGGTTTAGGGTCTTTTAGGGTTTAGGGTTTTTTTAGGGTTTAGGGTTTAGGGTTCAGGGTTTTTTAGGGTTTAGGGTTTACGGTTGAGGCTTCAGGGCACAAGAACACTCGGCCCTGCGCAGGCTTTCATGGTTTTTAAGGCTTGGACCTTGGGGCTAAGGGTTTACGGTTGAGGCTTCAGGGTACAAGAACACTCGGCCCTGCGCAGGTTCCCAACATGGCGCGTGCACCTTGGAAGCGTGCGCGCGTGCACCTTGGAAGCGCGCGCGCGTGCACCTTGGAAGTGGCGCCCTTCCACTCCATCCTCCTCCCCTCCCCTTCCGCATCCCTGCCCCCCTCTCACCGTACCCCCAATCCACCCACCACCAACCCCTTGCCCCCCGCTCCCCACCACCCTTCCCCTTCCCAACCATTCCACTCCACCCCCATCCCGCTCCCCTCCTCCCGCTCGACACCCCGCGCCCTCCACCCCCACGCCCCCCCCCCCCCCCACCCCCCCCCCCCCCACCCCCATGGTTTTCGGGCCCCCGGATCAGCTCACTGACTTTAAGGGCTCCGCCCTTCCCGCCGCTACCCCTTCCCCATCCCTGCCCCCCCTCTCACCGTACTCCAATCCACCCACCACCAACCCCTTCCCCGCCCCTAACCCTCCCACCACCAACCCAACCCCTTCCCCCGCCCCCCGCTCCCCACCTTCTCTGTCCCCCCTTTCACCGCTTTCACCCGCTCGCCACCCCGCCCTTCCCGCCCGCTCCGCCCACCCTCCCCATCGCCCCCTCACTTCCTCACCATCACCGCCCCAACCCCCCCGCCTCTGGCCAGCTGGCCATGGCCCCCAATGGCTCCATGCCCTTGATGGTCCCCTGGCCCTGTGCCTACTGGCTCGCCCCACGGTTTTACGGGCCTCTGGCCCTTTGCCTCTCTAGACTCGATCAGATGACTGACTTTTTATTTAAAGGGCTCCGCCCCTCACCGATCTCTGCTGTTTCAGGGCCAATCCATGCCCGCCCTCTCCCCAATCCCCCCACCCTCCCCCCCCACCCACCCCACCCCCCCAACCCCCCCCCCGACCCTATGCCCAGTGGCTCATGGTTTTACGGGCCTCTGGCAGACAGGATCAGCTCACTGACTTTAAGGGCTTCCCGCCGCTACCTTCCCCATCCCTGCCCCCCCTCTCACCGTACTCCAATCCACCCACCACCAACCCCTTCCCCGCCCCTAACCCTCCCACCACCAACCCAACCCCTTCCCCCGCCCCCCGCTCCCCACCTTCTCTGTCCCCCCTTTCACCGCTTTCACCCGCTCGCCACCCCGCCCTTCCCGCCCGCTCCGCCCACCCTCCCCATCGCCCCCTCACTTCCTCACCATCACCGCCCCAACCCCCCCGCCTCTGGCCAGCTGGCCATGGCCCCCAATGGCTCCATGCCCTTGATGGTCCCCTGGCCCTGTGCCTACTGGCTCGCCCCACGGTTTTACGGGCCTCTGGCCCTTTGCCTCTCTAGACTCGATCAGATGACTGACTTTTTATTTAAAGGGCTCCGCCCCTCACCGATCTCTGCTGTTTCAGGGCCAATCCATGCCCGCCCTCTCCCCAATCCCCCCACCCTCCCCCCCCACCCACCCCACCCCCCCAACCCCCCCCCCGACCCTATGCCCAGTGGCTCATGGTTTTACGGGCCTCTGGCAGACAGGATCAGCTCACTGACTTTAAGGGCTTCCCGCCGCTACCTTCCCCATCCCTGCCCCCCCTCTCACCGTACTCCAATCCACCCACCACCAACCCCTTCCCCGCCCCTAACCCTCCCACCACCAACCCAACCCCTTCCCCCGCCCCCCGCTCCCCACCTTCTCTGTCCCCCCCTTTCACCGCTTTCACCCGCTCGCCACCCCGCCCTTCCCGCCCGCTCCGCCCACCCTCCCCATCGCCCCCTCACTTCCTCACCATCACCGCCCCAACCCCCCCGCCTCTGGCCAGCTGGCCATGGCCCCCAATGGCTCCATGCCCTTGATGGTCCCCTGGCCCTGTGCCTACTGGCTCGCCCCACGGTTTTACGGGCCTCTGGCCCTTTGCCTCTCTAGACTCGATCAGATGACTGACTTTATATTTAAAGGGCTCCGCCCCTCACCGATCTCTGCTGTTTCAGGGCCAATCCATGCCCGCCCTGACCGCCCCCCCCACCCACCCCACCCCCCCAACCCCCCTTTCGGCCCTATGCCCAGTGGCTCATGGCCACCTGGTTTTACGGGCCTCTTGCAGACCCGATCAGCTGACTGACTTTAAAGGGCTCCGCCCTTCCCGCCCGCTCCGCCCACCCTCCCCATCGCCCCCTCACTTCCCTCACCATCACCGTCCCCCCAACCCCTCCCCCTGGCTTAGGGTTTGGGGTCTAGGGTTTAGGGTTTACTGGGTTTAGGGTTGAGCGGGTCTCGAGGTTTAGGAATTGGAGCTCAGAGGGTTTAGACCTTGGAAAATTTGGGGTCGGCGGCACTGGCGGTAGCCATTAAATCGGGCAGCGCGAGGTCCCCAAAAGGACCGAGCAAATGCGGACCTTTTAACCCGTGTCGTCCCGGGAATAGCCTTGCTGGCCTCTGGCCTTCTGCGAAGCAGAATTAGGCGGGACGCCAGTGGTTTTTTTTTTTCGTGGTTTTTTGCGTCGCCACGGAGGCCCCCAGAGGGCGCGCATCATGAGCATCAGCGGGTCCAGCCCGGGACTCCCAGGCGCGCATCAGGAGCATGAGCGGCTCCCGGGGCGGGACCCCGGGACCGCATCAGGAGCATGATGCCCCCCAAAGGGCGGGCATAAGCGACGTGTCTAAGCCCGGGGCTAGGAAAAAGGGAGTTTAGGGGCCTTATAAAGTGCTTAGAAACGTTAAGGGAGTCTAGGAGCCTCAACGCTTAGAGATTTGAAGGGAGTTTAGGGGCCTGAAAATGCTTAGAAACTTAACGCTTAGAGATTTTAAGGGAGTTTAGGGGCCTCAACATGCTTAGAAACTGCTCGCCCCGGGCTTCTGCGTGCGCTGCCCGCCCATGGGCGCAGCCCCTTAAAATATATATATATATATATATATATATGAAGTCTAAAAACAAACAAAGCTTATTTTGCATGCAATGAAGCATTCATTGATGCCGCAACCGCTGGGCAGAGGAAGTGCATGCGGGAGTCCATAATTGGGGTTCCTGTCATAATGTGGGCCTTTTTTTACAACCGTGATAGGGACCACAATTGAGACGGCCGGATCGCCCACGAGACGATTCCTGACCGCATCTAGGCCATCGGCTTCAGTACTTCCTGGACCACTACTGGGATCGCCCTTGGAACATTGTTTTGGGGGGCTGTTTCGTAATTAAATGTTAAAAGGAAGTATATAAAGCCGGATTCCAGAAAATTCCGGAGGTTTCTCATTCAAAACTACTATTGTTTTGGGCTCCCTGGCCATCATTCCCCCCGGGGCCGCGAGCTTCGCATTCTTGCGGGTAACCCTTGTCAATGAGGGTGTCCCCTGTAATTTTCTGGAACTTCGCATAACTACGGGCAACGACAACACCAAAACGGGTGCAACATTAAGAACAACTCAATACTCTCGCCTGCTCTACGGCAGCAACCCAAGAGGAGACCTCAGTCATGCAACGCGACGACTGTTGTGATTGCAAAATAGCATGATCATTGTTGTATGTGCCATGATTGTTTTTGTGTTTTGTATTGCAGGATCCTAGTATGACAGTGCTGTAGTATTGTAGTTCTACAGCAGGCATTCTCGTTGTTAGGGTGCAATTGCCTCACCGACTTGTAGCTACATTCTGGGCCCTTCATGTGTCTATCCCTCTATAGGCGGGGTCCAAGCCGTGGATCAAACCCGGTATGTGCCGCACAAAAATCGTTCGTCCATAAGGGCCCGGCAGCTTGCTGACAGACCGGACCTGGCGGTGATTTGCCAGCAGGCAGACACAAAAACATCCGAAGCCCAAACTCTCAAACCGCGAAGCCCTAAACCCCAAACCCTGAGCCCAAGGCCCCCCGAAGCCTTAAAGCCCCTTACTGTAAACGACCGAAGCCCTCAACCCCAAACCCCAAAACCCTATAACTGGAGTCTTCCGACCCTCGCGCGCCTGTCGGTGCCAAAGTCACCGACGTGCAGTCGGCACCTCGGGGGCGTATTGAAGAGCCTTCACGGCTTGCATGGAACCCGTTGGGGGTTAGGGTTTAGGGTTTAGGGGTTTTTCGATTAAAGTTGATTTCGGGTCGAGAAGTAGTCAGAAGTACGGATACAAAAAGGCCACCCAAATACCGTATATTTATGATCAGCTATAGCGATAGTTGCCCGGACCCTCTCTCACAACCACCCATGAGCCTCCAGAAGGGCCTTTAAACCGTATAGCCTATAAAATATAAACCCCAAAATCTGTAAGGCCCTAAACCACGTGCTTACCGGGCCTTCAAGGGATAGGGCTGTAACTAGTGCGGCTTCGGGATTTTTGGTTGGGTCGCGGCCCTTGTCACAGCTAAGTGCCCGTCGATCGAAGCGCAGCGGCCAGTAGGTCCAGGGGGCCTGGATGAAGCCCTAAACAAGCCTAAACCTAAACCCCAAAAACCTAAATTTTAAACCCTAAGGAAATGGTGTTGAAACCGTGACATCTGAAGGTTTAAGACTTCAGGCAAGCAGCAGAGTGGAGTGGAATTGCCAGACGCTCCTGGACCTGCCAAGCAGAGTTTACTTCGGGCTTAGGGCCTTCTAGGGTTTGGCAGGGGTTTTGGGGGTTTAGGGTGTTAGGGCCTTGTAGGGTTTAGCTTGTTTCGGGCTTATAGGGCCTTTTCGGGTTTAGCAGGGGTCTGGGGTTTAGGGGTTCAGGAGTTCAGGGGGGTGGTAGGTCTAGGAAACGCATCAGGGGGCACCTGCTCAAAACAGGCTCGCCACTCCATCTCGTCCCCCGGGCTGTCAGCGACCACGCTGGGGCCCCTGAGTCTGGTGGCTTCGAGCTCGGGCTTCGGTGTTGTGGGCCTATAGGTTTACGGGTTTCGGTTTAGGGTTTAGGGTTTCGGGTTTCGGGTTTCGGGTTTCGGGTTTAGGGTTTAGGGTTTAGGGTAGGGTTTAGGGTAGTAGCTAGTTGTCAGCCCTGGCCCCTTGGGTCGCCGGCTGGGACAGCAGCTCCGGCCGTCGGAATGGATCCAGCAGCCGTGCCGGGTTGAGGCACAGGCACTCTGCGCAAGGGCACGGCCGCAGGGGGACAAGGGCATAAGGGATGTCAGGACAGTACTGCGAAATCCTGACTCCTGAATCCTGGAACCCAATACGCTCACCTATGCGCCCAGCTCTTCGTGCATGCAGGCTGGCTCAATTTTGGAGTGCTGCGGCGATCATTGCAGCTCCCACAGCAGTCCATACGGCGATGCTTGAAACATCCCGAAACCCTGTGCCCGACTTGCCTGGCGGGACCAACTGGTAGAGGTGCCCCAAGGATGACGCTGACAGCAGCCCTTGGATACCTTGGGCCATCTTGAGCCAGAAGACATGGGGCTTTTGGGTTGTGGGCTTCTGGGTTGCCACAGTTGGGGCTGCAAACCCTGAGATCATCGCGCTTGACGATGGCCAGGTGTTGCTCGTCCAGCTCGAAAATGCAACTGCATCCTGTCATGACCACGATGACAAGGGCAGAGGGTGCTGCCAGCAATGGCGGCAATGGCAAGGTACCAAAAACCGGCCGTATGCATAAGCCTGGAACAGACACGTGTGCACAGAGCTGCGACACACAAAGCTGAGCTGCAGCCAGGGAATGGCCTTGCCATGGGAGCTCCTTCCACTCCACTGGATCAAACCTTTGCGTCGCAGAGTCTGATTGGGCTGAACTTGGCAAATCCTCGGCCCGAAAGTTTCGGGCCGGCGCCCGAACTTTCATGACTCTTCCCCCCCTGTTGCGCAGGAAGATTATCCTCCGAATCTTGAGGCATAAAAGCTACTAGGGCTACCAGAGACTATGGCTATGCAGGATTTTTCATGAAGGAGTCATGATGAAGCGTTAAAAGCTGCTCAGGCATGCAAGAAATGGGCATCACCTCGAAACCTTTCACTATGCGCTAGGATGTCTGCAGATGGCGAGGAATCGAAACGTCCGGCGGCGCTCCAACGTGAACCTCAGGACGGAGACGGGCGGGTGGTGTTTAGCGAGCGTTCAGGGTGATCTTTTACATCCCGTCATAACTTGAAACTGGGGTAGCGTGCTGCAGATGTAGAAGGGGAGCTCCCACCCCCTCAGTTGGGGGAATGGCAAAACAAAGCGGGTTAGGACAGCGACCCTCGCTTCCCCACTGTCGCAGCACAATCTCAAGCAAAAGCTGGGGCAGGGACTATTCGCAATGAGACGGGCAACTTCCCTGAAGAAATGATGACATACCGAACGTTCTCGCAGACCTGGACAAGTGTGGCCAGAAAGCAATGAAGGCAGAATTCAGGATTAAAGTTTCAGGGGTTTCTGCACGATGAACAGTTCCTTGCCAAGATGCCTGCTATGATGAGGAGCCTCTTGAGGGCGAATGTTTGGGAGCATGCTTGCTGGTCATTCATGTGTTCCTGGAAGACCTGTAAGATGTCCTGAAGTGCACACGGCATCTTCATGCTTGCAGCAGGCCGTGTTGAAATCCCAAAGCAGCTCAACAACTCACAAGTCAAAGCACACCACCATGCTATCTCGTGCAAAAGCCTGTGTGCTTCCCGAGACGCCCTAAGGTTCCCGGAGTCTTCTCATTTTGCAAATCCCCTCCCTGTGTTGACCCACTATCAAGAAAAAAGACCTGCAATGCTTCCGACTTCCTTCGCACATACTTCCAAAACTCCCATCACTCCCGTCCTAATGCTTCTCCATGCCACCGGCAGCCGGAATACTTGCGAATGCTAATCCCACGGTATGAACTGCCCTGCTACAGCTCCGATCATTCCAGCCCTGTGATCCGCAAACCCTCCAAGCCCGCAACCCTAAAGCCACAAAGCTTCAAACCAACAAAAAAACCTCCAAACCCCTCGAACCCCCTCAACCTCAGCCCCCTCGTACACCCCACAACTTGGCATGCTCCCTCCAAAACTAACTAGCACGCCGAGGCCTCGGGCCGAAGGTGTATAGGTTGTCAGAACAGGCACCCCCCTCCAAATCCTCCCCCCACACCCAAAAGCCACTTTCGGACCCCTTTTTTTGCCAAAAATGGGTACCCCCCCCCTAGGAGAGCAGGGGCCGCCAGCGGATGGTTCGCCAGGACCAGAGGCAGTTGCAGCCCCCTTTTTCCCTGACGCTCCCTGCCCTTTTCCGATCCCCCCCCCCCTCCCCCCCCCGCCCCCTACCCCCCCCTTCCTCCCCCCCCCCCCTCCCCCCCCCCCCCCCTCCCTCCCCCCCCCCCACCTCCCTCCTCTCCCCACCCCCCCTCCAACCTCCTACCCCCCCCCCCCCCACAAACCACCCCTCCCCTTTCCAAAACGCTACAAAACATTGGTGAGGCTCAACTGCTGTGAGCACGGCCTGGGATGCATTACACGAGCCGAAGAATCTAAGCTTTGAACCTTCACAACCCCCCCCTCCCACCCTCCCCCTGCCCCCCCTTCCCCCCCCACCCCCCCTACCCCTGATGGGCTGGCTCCACTCTACGATTCTTGAACCCAACACACAAAAAACCCTAAACCCCAAAGCGTGAACCTTGAGCCCTAAGCCCTCAATCCTAAACCATAAACCATAAACCCGGAACCCTAAACCCTAAACCCTAAACCCAACCCTTATTGCTTGGGGCCCAGCAACTTGGGCGCTGCGGAATCACCATGCTCACGCGGATGCGCTGGGCCGGGCCGAGGCGGGTCGCGTAGCGTTAAAATTACTATTCAGGACTGTCAGTATAAGGGGGAACATCCCAACCTGCCTCCAGTACAACTTGCAACCTCAAAAAAGGCGCTGGAGGTCCGGGCCTCGGCCCGAAAGCCTGTGGAGTCCGCGAGGCGGCAGAGAAGGCCTCGGAAGTCGAGAGCGCCCCGTTCCCTTGTGGAGAGTTCGTGCTGCTTCCCTAAACCCTAAACCCTAAACCCGAAACCCTAAACCCTAAACCCTAAACTTTCCCTTTGGGGGTTAGCCTCGGGCGTCAGGCTTTAGAGATTGTTCTTTGCCTCTTTTTTTTTTGGGGGGGGGGGGGGGTAGAGTTTTGGGGCTTTGGGGCTTTCAGGCGCGAGGGGTTTGAGTCTCAGGCCTTAGGGTTAAGGGCTGAGGCTTCAATACTCAGCGTTGAAGGGTGAAGCCTAGGACTGGCGATTCGGGCAAGAAGTCGGAGTTTGGGCCCGAAGATCATCGCGCACTCTGCTGCAGAGTGCAAACGCACCTTTGGCCTTTAGTACCATAAACCCTCACCCCTAACACACCTGAATAAAGCACCTAAAACCCCTAAAGCCCCAACACCCTAAACCCATTTCTATAGAGTACACCTGCACCCTTGCGCTTAGAGTTTCGGACTTCGGGAGGCTGAGATTTCAAAACGACTGTCGCATGGCTGCTTGGGATTCAGGTGCCCGAAACAGATCGGGCCTAAACTACCCCGATCAACCCCCAGTGCGCTCTCCGAAGCCATCCTCAGCCCAAAAGAATCCCCAAACCTCCACCTCAAGCCAGAGATGTAAACAAACTAAAAAAAATGATCCTCAGCCTTGAGCCCTCCACTATCCTAAGCACTCAACCCTCAACCCTGAACCCTGAACAATCCTAAACCCTAAACCCTAAGCCCTTAAATATCCAGTAACTATCCCAAGCCCTAAACTCCCCCGACCCCCCCCCCCCCCCCCCCCCCCCCAAAAAAAAAACCTAAGCTTGCTGAGAATCTGGCGGCAGACATCTGCCTGTGGGCATCCCTGCAGCTCAGAGGCACTTCTCTCGCCGGCGCTTTAGGGGTTTAGGGCTTTGGGGTGTCGTCTAGGGATGCAGGAACTTGGGGGTTCAGGGGTTTCGGGGATCGAAAAGGGGTTTCGTGGCTTCGGGGTTTTTGGGGGTTTGAGGTCTAGGGGCTTCGAGGTAGTTTGGGGATTCAGGTTTAGGGGCTGAAGGTTTCGGGGGATTGGGCGGGTTTGGAGGGTAAGCAAGCTACTACCATAAAGATGTACTGTGATGATGTGGAAGGCTCTTCTGGACAAAGCTCTTCTTACTCGTCCAGCCTTGTTCAGGCAACTAAAGGTTAACCTGTGGGATTATTCGGGATTCAACTCTGAAGCCCAGAAAAGCCTGAGGTTACTTGCTCGACTGCGAAGCCCCTGGCACAAGCCTTTTGCGCGCTTGGGGTGACGGGTGGGCGGGAGAGGGGGGAAAGGGTGGGTTGCTGGTATAGCCTAGGATAGGGTAGTAGCTTTCAGGCTCGAGGATTCAGTTCAGGGTTTAGGGATGCTTCGGGTTTGCGCTCACACACCACTTTCGTGCGCCTGGACGCCCATTGCTGCCACTTGAACTACACTGTCGTAGAGAAACCTGCGTGACAGGGCAAAAAAAAGTGATGGTTCGTTGAAGAGGAGATGCGGCCGTGAACTGAGGGAACTGATCATATGACTTGCAGACAATCACTGCATTCGAGCGGCCAGAAGGTGCGACTCCTCTCTGGGTTCGCGGTTAGCAGCGCGTCTGGCTGCCGGGTGTAGTCAATGGGCTCCTTCGCAGAAGGCACAGCGACAACCATCCGCATGGTTGAAGCCGAGACCCACGTCCTTCTTCAGGTAAGGATTGCCCAGGCCCACGGAAGTCATGGAGTTGCGACGCCTTCATTGCAGGATCACTCGTTGATTTTTCTACTGTAGCCAAGAGACGAATAGTTGCACCGTCGAGCCGTCAAAACGTGTGAGAGTTGTGAAAATGAATGATACTTCGGAACATGAGCGACCGAGCTTCAAGTCCAAAAATATAATTGCACCCACAAGCCCTTGAACCCTGACAAGTCCTAAACCCTCCAACCTACAAACAGGTACAACTTATGATCCTGAAGCCTAACACTGGTTTCCTTTCTACCTTGCGACATACAACCCTTACGCCCACAACCCTCAACCCCAAATCCCTAACAGCTCTAAATCCTGAACCCTCAACTTCGAAACCGATAAATCAAAAAACAAAAACAAAGCCCAAAACCCCAGCCCCCAAAAAAAACCCAGCCCGACATCCCAAACCCAGGCCAAACGCACAACCGGAATCCCCTCGTCGAGCATGCGACGCGAGCGCTGTGAACCAAGCCCGGGTGCCCGAGCTTGCCCACCACGAAGCCTGGGGTGTACGGGTTTAGGGTTTGTGTGTTCCGGTTCTAAGTTATGCAAGGCTACAGCTTCTACTAAGGCAGCAAATTCCGTTCCGTAAACGGGCTTTGAAAGTTCTGGGAGCTAAGGATTTGTTGGGGGGCTTGGGGTTTAGGGGTTCTCTGGGAGTTTCGGAGGTGAGGAGTTGAGGGCCTTTTGGGTCGAGAGTGCAAGCTGAAGCCGTGGAGGAAGAGGCGCCGCAACGTTGTGCGGCCGAGATGCGCAGAGTGGGCACGTCTGTGCCGCGGGTGGGTAGGACGTTGGTGCTGCTGAAGCTGACATGGAAAGAACACCTGCAAGTCTGCTATGTCTTGCAAAGCTGTGGATGAAGAGCACGTCAAATTGAAGCTGTTGTTCGTCGATGCAGAAAGTCAATTCATGTCAATTCACATGGATTCCTTGTAGCCTGCCCCTGTACCTCTACGTTGAATCTGTCGAGCACAGCTCGAGTTGCGAGATACAGTCTAGGAAAATCACACTTGCGTGAAAGCACTGGGCTCTTGGCGTGGCATTTGTCTGAACGACGATCATGCCACGACCTTCTCGCAGAAGTCTTTTCTCATCACTTCGCTGTGAGCGCAGCACGCACTGCACGCACTGCACGCACTGCGCGCACTGCACGCACTGCACGCAGCAACAACGATCCCCTTCAACAATCCGCACCTGTGCCAGGCTTGTTGCCCTCCTCTGCGGGCAACGCCTGCAGTCTGAGGCCTTAAGGCTTATGACCAAAATAACCTTTCTGGGTTGGCCTTTTAAAGGTTCTGAAAGATACTCCTACATGACATCTTCTCAAACCCAACAAGGGGCAGTATCCGCCGACCCCGGCACGGGGCGAGCGCCTGGGTCAGAGGCTCCAAAGCCCACCCGGGCACCCCACTCCCGATGCCAGCAAAAAAGGCTTAGGGTTTAGGGCTTGGGGCCCTCAAACCTAAACTCTAAACCCTTAGCCCAAAAGCTCCAAACCCGTCTCGGCCTCGAGGTCAGCCACCACTTGCTCCGCATTGCCTCCTGGCCTTGAAACGAGAGAGGGTTTGGAGGTTTGGGGTTCAGGTCTCGGGGTTTGGGGCTTAGGGTTTAGAGGTTCAGGCTCTATTTTGGGCTTCAGGGTCCACGGTCCAGGGTTTCACGACTTTGAGGGTTTGGGTTCGGGCCTCGGGGTTTTGGGGCTTCCGAGTTCAGGATTCAGGACTGTGGCGTTCCGAGATACAAGGGGGTTTAGGGCTGAGCACATGCAGCTCATGATCCTCATGGGGACACTGAGTTCTAGGCAGGTTTATCCAGTTCCAATCGGAGCTCATGGCGCCATCTACCGGACCCTATGCCCTACGTCCAAGATCCCTAGCAATCATATGCCCCGAAACCTCTAGAGACTCTAGTGTAAAAATAGGGTCATTCACTGCGATGTCATGCGGCGTCTCTGACTCCAAATGCCTGAGCCACATGCCATATAACAGCCGACTGTCTGTCTGTGTGTGTGTGTGTGTGCGTGTGCGTGTGCGTGTGCGTGTGCGTGTGCGTGCGCGTGCGCGTGCGCGCGTGCGCGCGTGCGCGCGTGCGCGTGTGCGCGTGTGCGCGTGTGCGCGTGTGTGCGTGTGTGCGTGTGTGCGTGTGTGCGTGTGTGCGTGTGTGCGTGTGTGCGTGTGCGCGTGCGCGTGTGCGCGTGCGCGTGTGCGCGTGTGCGCGTGTGCGTGTGCGCGTGTGCGTGTGAGCGTGTGCGTGTGGGCGTGTGCGTGTGGGCGTGTGGGCGTGTGGGCGTGTGGGTGTGTGGGTGTGTGGGTGTGTGGGTGTGTGGGTGTGTGGGGGTGTGGGTGTGTGGGGGTGTGGGTGTGTGGGTGTGTGGGTGTGTGGGTGTGTGGGTGTGTGGGTGTGTGGGTGTGTGGGTGTGTGGGTGTGTGTGTGTGTGTGTGGTGTGTGTGTGTGTGTGGGTGGGGGGGGGATCCCTGTTACCAAGGTTGAAGAGCAATGAGCTATAGCGTCCAGTTTAGAGCGATTTTCGCAGTTTGCAGTCTGCGCCAAGTTTTTTGAGCAGGGGGACTGGGCACTCTGTGACTGACCCAGTCTAACAAAGCTAGGTCACAGAGTGGGATACTGCACCTGGCCAGTGCAGCGTACCTGCCAATTTGAACAGGGCTTGTTTGTGATGCTGTTTAGGTCGCTGTGCAAGCCCTTGTTTCGTATTATATCTAGAGTACACTCATGTGAGGGTTCATGCAGGCTCTGCCTTTGAAATCTTCACCTCTAAGACAATCGTGAGAAGAGGGAGGATTGCACGAGTGTGCTCTAGACGATTGTTCGTTCAACGTGCCGTCTACGGTAGGGTTGCCTACTGCATGGACCCTGATCGGTCTAGAAGCTTAGCCTTGAGATACTGAAAGGCCCAGGCTCTGTCTGAAACAACCTTTGGACTCTGAATCAGTCCAACTCGACTGGTACTCCGCGTGAGCAACGCATTCTGTTAGGTCTGGGTTCAGGGCTCAGTCTGTACCAGTTGATTGAACAGCCTTTTTCTTCATCATGTCCAGCTCATGGTGGAAGCAATCTGAATGGAGTGAGCCATCCTCTTGGGAATGGCATTCAAACACTTCTTCTTCTTGGCAAGAAGGACAGTCGTGGCAACAAGCTCAGCAATGGACTGCCACCACGAAGCCCACCGAACCAGTTCGCCCCCCGAAAGTGCTCCTTCCTGACCACTTTCAGTCTGACGACAAGTTCTATGATCGTCAGCCTGTTGGAAAAGGGTCTCACCAACTCTTTCGGACTGTCCAGCCGACTGAGTGGTCTCGCAAAACGTCCTTGGCGGGACGACCCATAGAAGATATCAGGGCCTGGGAGCTCAGCCATCGTGGGCTCTCAGGGTTTTCCTTTCGTCTCCTTAGTGAGGGCAGATATCAGGGCATTGTTTGGACTCGTTCTGCGTCAGAGGCTGTGTTCCTCACACAGCTCATGAAGCGCATTCGCGAGGTCGGGGTGGATATCGACGAAGTCGCTCGAACTTTTCACACGGAAACCCCGCCCGACAAGCACAAAGATGCCACAAAGTTCATGGGCAAGATGTGTGATTCTATCGTTGATGATTTGAAGAAGAGATCGCCAGTCCCGCACACGAGCACTTCTGATGAGCTCGCAAGGGCCAAAGCGAAGCTGGCCCAGGCCGGTCTTTGTCTCACCCCCCAAAAGAGGTCGTCAGAAGAAGATGACCCTGACAGCTCGTCGGCTCGCCCTAAAGCCAAAGCGAAATGCAAACCTGCGACTGAAACAGCGCCGGCTGTACAGTTCTTGCAACTCGAAGCCCAGAAGCTGCTGTCAAGCCCACCGGTTAACAAGCTGGATTCAAGGCCAGTTGGTCCTAAGGACAACCAAGTTGAAGAATGGCTCCAAACTTTTAAGACCAAGCCCAACTTCAAAGGCCAGTTCGCAAATTTGAAGAAGCATGTTCTGGCTGTTCAGAAGGTCTTTGAGAGTGGAACTCCCAAAGCCGACATCGTTGCTGCAGCAGTCAAGTTTGGTCTCGACGAAAGGCTTGCGAGTCGCCTGACAATTCGCAATCTTTCGACAACTATTGCTGTTGCTCAGTTTTCGGCAGCGTGACTAGCTCACAAAGCATTGTCGATTTCTCCGAGTCAGGCCCAACGTTTGAAAGAGGACATTTGTGGTCTTGGGGAAGCTTGTACTTTCTTCATTCACCATTGTCCTGAGTTTTCCAAAGCTCCGTCGCTGTGGGCCCAGGGATTGCTGCACCTTGTGTTGCTGTTTTGTTTCTCTGACTCCAACCAGCAATCCTGTGCAGAACTCCTACGTAGAAAACTCCGAGCAATGAAAGTTCACCCGTCAATGTACACGTGGCCCAGACTTTTAAAGCCAAATTCAGTGTACATCAAAACTATGGTAGATTGGCGCCTTTTTAACTCTATCGAAAGATATCGGCAGCCATCTACTATGATGTATATAGGTTCAACCAGTATCTCGGTCCCACGTCGGGAATCGAACAGATTGTCAGTGTACAAGAAGCTCGTAGCTGGTCAGCAAGCTCAGGCGGAGCTGGCCCTTCGTTACTGGGCTTCCAATCTCTCCATTGAAAACTCTTCCATTTTTCAAGTTGCAACATGCTCTGACTACAAGTCAGCCTGGGTGCTTGAGCATTGTCTTATCGATGCATGGCAACCAAAACTCAACTTTCCGTTCATTACGTCCCACCTCCGGCGTTCCGCCTTAGGTTTCGTGCCGTCTAAGAGAAGACGCGCGCAATCCTACAGCAAGTTTGGCAAAAGGCTTTGGTTGAAGCTTCGAAAGAAGCTGTTTCAGCAAGAACAGCCCTATTGCTTCCAACTTTCGAGATTGAGAGCATGGGAGACCTTGTGTGATTTGGCAAGTTTCTCTCGCGCGTCGTTTGAAAAAGTCAAAACACTCCGGTCTCAAAGGCTGGTGGATGACGAAATCTACGCGCTTGTTAGGCTCAGTTTGAACATCCAAGAGCCCTTTCGGAGTAAAGTTCGCGCCCTCCTTAAAGGAGTTTGCGTGTACCGCAATATGACCTGGCCCAAAGGGTCTATGGGTCTTCAGTTGCAATTTACTGCTGATGATCACTTTGCGGCAAGAGTTTCTAAGTGGCTGCGGGCCCAGATAATTCGTTTCAAGCATGTGCTTGTTCCTTTTCATTTGCCTCCCTCTCAGATTCGGGAGAAGCCACATCAAAGTCTGAAAGACTTTCTTCACAATGTGAAACAATGGGATGCGTGGCTCCAAATGAATTCGTTTGATCAGATCGTTTGCCCCTGCAAGAAGTACAGGTCAAGACTCCCTGCTGATTGTTTCATTTCTGGACATGTCTGCGCCGGCCTAGAGATGCTTGATTCGTTGCATCCTGCTTGTAGCTATATCGGATCCGGCAGTGCTTCGTCAACCTTTTTTCCGGCAAAGCACAAGTTTATGGCCCAGTCCATAAAGACTTTTCAAAGCTGGAGGAAGAAACACGGCTTCCCCGCAATGCTCGAAGCTGAGTTTCAAGAGCTTATGCTTCAGGAATGGCAGCTCCACTGTCAAGCTCTTCGTGAGCATTCTCGTCTCACTTGGTTAGACGTTTCAACAATTCGCAACATCTTGCACTCCGAATTTGTTTTACACTGCGAGGACCACGAGCCAAATCACGTAATGACTTTTTGCCCTCGCTTTTTTTTCAGTTCCGCGCTCCAAACCTGGGAAGATGCTGATGTCTTCGAGACACTGTCAGGACATCCCCAAGAATGGAAGCAGTGGGTGCTCAACCAAGTACCCAGTTCTTTAAAAAGGAAGTACCCCTGGTCTATCAATCCCAAAGGGAAATTGCCCAACGGATTTGTTTTTCTCAAGCGCAAGAAACAGTTCGCCAAAGGTCGAACTATCATTTCATATTGCGCTACTCCTTTCTGTCAGCTGCTAAAAGCCGCTTCTCATGCCATTGTACTGATGATCAATACTGCATGGGATAGGGCTTTCGGCCTAGAACCCACTCCAGTGATCTGGAATCGGTTGCACGAGTTCTTTAAGAGAACGCCTGCTCACGCGCACCTGCTTGAGATCAATGATGATCTCGTGGGTTTCTTTAACTCTGTGCCAAGGGAGCAAATTGTGCAATCCCTTAACATGTTGATTTCCAAATACCGCAGTCTGGGATATCCTCCTGACACTTCGGTTTCTTTAACCAAAGCCTCGTGTGCTGAAACAGCATGGCCAGGCAAACCGCAGGGTAAATCGACCAAACAGGTCAAATACCTTCAGGTTCAAGATCTTCCGGACATTGTACAGCTATCTTTTCAAGCCGGAGTGTTCCAAGCTATGGGACGCATTTTTCGCCAACACAGAGGCACTTGCATAGGCAATCAAATTAGTCCTGTGCTTAGTAGCCTCCCGGTAATTCAAAGAGAGCTGCAGTGGCAACGAGAATGGAACTTGAGAGCCACGGGCTGGGACGAAAGCTCTAGTAGGCCTAGGACTGGGGACACTGATCTTACAGGAACAGAGAGGCGCCGAGAGAGCAAAGCGCCGACCCTCAGCCCGGAAGATGCAGAGAGCAATGAGACAGACACCTTTGCGAACCATAGACCGGCAGACATGTTGCAGCATGCCCAGCTCAGTGATTCAAGTAGCTCTCTCTCTTGTCGCACATGACACGCAACGGCCAGCATCAGCAGCATCAGGCACCACACCCACACCCAGGTTAGCATCAGCAGCATCAAGGGGGGCCCCGCTTCTCCTTCGAACGTCTCCGAAAAACACCTACCAAAGAAACCCAAATCTAGCCCAAAACAGGCCCCCTTGGCACCACACCCAGGCCAGCATCAGCAGCATCAGGGGGGCCCCGCTTCTCCTTCGAACGTCTGAGAGCAATGAGACAGACACCTTTGCGAACCATAGACGGGCAGACATGTTGCAGCATGCCCAGCTCAGTGATTCAAGTAGCTCTCTCTCTTGTCGCACATGACACGCAACGGCCAGCATCAGCAGCATCAGGCACCACACCCACACCCAGGTTAGCATCAGCAGCATCAGGGGGGCCCCGCTTCTCCTTCGAACGTCTCCGAAAAACACCTACCAAAGAAACCCAAATCTAGCCCAAAACAGGCCCCCTTGGCACCACACCCAGGCCAGCAGGGGGGCCCCGCTTCTCCTTCGAACGTCTCCGAAAAACACCTACCAAAGAAACCCAAATCTAGCCCAAAACAGGCCCCCTTGGCACCACACCCAGGCCAGCATCAGCAGCATCAGGGGGGCCCCGCTTCTCCTTCGAACGTCTCAGAAATACACTTACCAAAGAAACCCAAATGTAGCCCAAAACAGGCCCCCTTGGCAACGATGGTTTTCCCGGCACCAGACCGGGGATAGCCGAAAAAACCCACCAAAATTGGTCCACCCCCCCCCCCCCCCCCCCCGCACCCCCCCCCGATAACCCCAGGCTCACTTCGTGAGGTATTGAACGAAGCTCCCACAGGGGGGAGCTTTCGTGACTTTCAACTCGCCTCACGCAGCTTTTTCGAAAAACAAGCTTCCAGTGTCTTCGTCTGTAGATACGTCGACAACAGGCTTCTGTTATGTACAGAACAAGAGGCCGAGCTTCGATGCTTTCAAGACTTCAAGCACCTTTCTTTCTACGGCTCGAGTATTCAGCTTGAGACTGTTGATGATCACCATTTTCTGGGCTTCGATATTTCAGCATCAAGCAGATCGGTTACCTTTAAGCAACCGGTCAAACCCTGGAAACTTCGTCACGCTTCCAGCGCAGGGTCTTGGTCCGCGAGAGCTTCAGGTTTCTTTTCTCGTAAAGCTCTCATTGTACAGTTTGCGTGGCCGCCCTCTTCCAGGGGAGCTCAAGTTCAGCAACTTAGAGAACTCTACCTTCAACAAGGTTTCCCGCGGCGAGTTGTGCAGTAAAACACTGACAAACTCGATGTCTGCATGCTTCTTTCAACGCACCTTTGATCAGTGCATCTTTGTGTTGCGCACTGTTCCGCCCCTCAAAACAGCACGGAACAAATTCAAAGCTTTGCCACTTTTTGGTTCAAGTTGCGAGCTTTTCACGCTGTAGCAGCTTTTTGCAATGTCGTACGTTTTCCATTTTTACTGTGGAAGCAATGACTTCAACTCTGGAGCCGTTCCCGGGCAAGTGATGCAGGGACGACCTTCAGCGTTGATGGCTGGCCCTTCCAGGGCAGAAAGCGTTCCGCCGCCCAGACCTCGACCTTTTGTTTCACCTTCAGAGAGTGCCCAGCCACAACAGCGGCCCAGAAGACTTTCGCGCTCTCGTTCTAGATCCAGACCGCGACGCCGACACCGAAGGGCTGAGCGCCAACAAGAACTGCCGTTTCCGCCAGGAGACTTTTCGGTCAGTGCCTATCCTCCGCAGCCCCGTTGGCCGCCTGTGCCACAGTTCGCACCTCCAGGACAGCTGGACCTTCCGCCCGTGTGGAACATGGGGTACCCGTTTCACCAACAGCAAAGGGTGCCGCGTGCTCAAGTGCCAGGCCAGCACGTTTATCCGTTTCAATTTGGCTACAGGCCACCGCCAGTCGACAATGTGTTTCAACCTCGGGGTCCGGCCCCTGAGGTCCATCCCGCCCCTCGTCCCACCCTTCCCGCGCCGGTCCGACCCATTCGGGGTGCCTTGCCTGGCGTGGGCAACACACAGCCTCCCAAGCAAGTGCATCCACAGGTTAAACCTGTCAGACGAAAGGCCGAGCACCAACAACAACAAGTTGTTCCCCCTCAGCAGGGCGCTTTCAAGCTTGTGCCAGCCACCCAACGCCCTGCCGTGCCAACCAAGGAGCTTGCAGCTGCTGAAGACAATATGTTCCTTGATGTTTTTCAAGCTTCGGCCCCCGAGTTGGAAGACCAAATTGCGGGCCGTGACTCCAGGGATACTTTTGGTACCAACCAGCCCCTCACGCCGTTTCTGGACTTTTGTTTCATCGCCTTCCAGACCAAAGCGTTGAGGAACCCTGCTTCATGGCTTTCTTTCACCAGGGGACAAACTCTATGTGGACATGGGCGGCAACACGCAACAAGGAAGTGGGTCAAAGAATGGCAGATGTGCAAAGCTGCTGACATTCGTGAAACCATGGATTTTCTTCTTTCCAGGTTTCCTGAAGGCCTGCCGTTTCTCTGCGTGGACTCCAATGTGTTGCGCAAATTCTGTCAGATTCTGTGGTGCTCCAGATGTCCCATTTTCGATACGTTTCAGCCCCAAGCAACTACCTTCGAGTCACCAGCAGCTGAAAGCAGTGTGCTGGTTTTTCCGGTAACCGGGTTTCCAGGACCGCCTCCCGGGCCCGATCAGTGGTATCAGTGGGCACATGGCACTGACAGCCTCGGGGCCATGGGGATTTTAGCCTCTGGCCGAGTTTTGCCTACGGCAAAACAAACTCTGGGATTGAAACCTCCGCAATCCAGTTGGTCCTTTTTTTGCAAAGTTTTGACAACTCCTGACTGGGAGGAGTCCATGCATGAATTCGTTAGCACCACAAAAAACAGTAGCGGAGTTGTTTTTTCCGGTAGAGTTGGAGGTGCAGCGCACAAGGCCCAAGCGGCGAACATAGTGCTCGAGAACGCACTTTGCCGGTTTCACCCGGCTGTCCACTCACCATCAAAAACTGACAAAAGGTGGTGTGTGCGAGCATCCGCAGCTCGAATCGATTTCGTGTATCTCGTCTCCAGCATGCATTCTTTAGACTTTCCGCAAGACTCCGGTCCAGCCGTAGTGAAGACCAAGAAGCCTTTGGAAAGCCCTACTGGTGCACTATTAGCAATCCAGGATGAAGCATGGGGCAAATGGCTCCCACCGGAAGTGTCGCAGCAGCATCAAGATGCTGCATTCAATGAGGAGCCTGATTTAATGGCCTCTTTTGCGTCATTTCGAGCTCCGTGAGTTTGTCTTTGCGTGCGTTTCACTCGTGCCAAGCATTGCTCTTTCGTCAGCAGCAAAATGCTTACCCTGCTTTGCAGGGTGTGTGGGGGGGATCCCTGTTACCAAGGTTGAAGAGCAATGAGCTATAGCGTCCAGTTTAGAGCGATTTTCGCAGTTTGCAGTCTGCGCCAAGTTTTTTGAGCAGGGGGACTGGGCACTCTGTGACTGACCCAGTCTAACAAAGCTAGGTCACAGAGTGGGATACTGCACCTGGCCAGTGCAGCGTACCTGCCAATTTGAACAGGGCTTGTTTGTGATGCTGTTTAGGTCGCTGTGCAAGCCCTTGTTTCGTATTATATCTAGAGTACACTCATGTGAGGGTTCATGCAGGCTCTGCCTTTGAAATCTTCACCTCTAAGACAATCGTGAGAAGAGGGAGGATTGCACGAGTGTGTGTGTGTGTGTGTGTGTGAGAGTGAGTGAGTGTGATTTTGTACGGTTAACTAGGAGGGCGCGTGACCCAAAACATAAACTCCTTTGGCATACGATCTAGCAGAGCATACCAGAAAATACCGTTGGCTGGATATCATGGATCACAGCTGAAGACGTCGGCCTGTACGACCAGTTGTGCGGTAGGACTGTGGCAAAGCGTGTCTAATTAAACATCTTACATGCCAATGCCAACAGCAATGCACCAGCAACTTTTTCTGTGCAGCCTGCGCAGCAATGGAACGATAGACCATCTACACATTCCTTCCTCTCAGAGGAGCTCCCACAACTGACTCATCAACTTGGACAAGTCCGTCTTCGATGCGGCCGTGGCCTGGTCGAGTAGATGGCCGAAGTAGGCAGGGACCGTCCTGGAGGTCATCGTCGTCGCAAAGGCACCAACAAAATCGTCGCTTTCGTTGAAGGACCATCGGACAAGGATGATGATCATGAGCTGAGTGGTAATCAAGGTGCTGCACATCATGTCCAGCTGCTGGGATGCCACCACCGCCCGCAAGAGGTATCTGGATGTTTCCCACCCTTCGGATCCTTCGGGCGGTTCTTTTTCTTGCCTCTGATCTTCGTGGAAGTCGTCATCTAAGCTCTGAAACCCACGCAACTTTTCGGCCGCCTTCCGCATGACCGACCACAGGAAGCCATCTTCACCTTGCACATCTGCAAACCCCACCATGTGCGCAATGTAACACCTAAAGGCCTCCGCCTCCTCGTCTCTATCAGACGCAGCATTCCAGCCAACGATTTCCTGGAAGAGAAGCCGTGTCTCTTTGGGGAATGGGGCCAAAAAAACGATGAGCTTGTTCGTGAGGAGGACGAACAAGAGTATGAAGAGGGGTGTGATGCCCAAGCCGCTGTTCCAAAATTTTTCCGCTTTCGTCCTTGCGTGGGCCCAAAAAAAGGCCGTGCACAAGGTGAGGACACCCCAGAGCAGCCAACCCAAGACCTTCAGGAAGACTGCAAGATGGATGAGTATGATGAATGCCGAGAAAGTCATCCCAGACAGTGTCCAAGACGGCCATTCCTTGTTAGACCATGTCAGAGGTTCGCAGCGAATCAACCGGAACGGCAGATAATACGGCAGGAGCACCAAGAAGAAGATGTGCTTGTCCCAAGGGAGCCACTTAGCATCCCCAATCACCATTGGGTACGAGTACATTTCCGGATAGTATCGTGCCTGTTTGCCCTCGAGTTTGTAGAGTTGACGTGGGCTGAAGTGAGTCACGGACAGGGAGACGGGAATGGAGGCCAGCAAGTTGGCAGAGCAAATCCAGGTCAACCCGATCACCTGGATGAGCTTCTTGGTGTCCCCAGGGAATGCCCTGCGCGCTGCCAAAATTTTGGTGATGTCACAATACCATGTGTTAAGTGCCAGGCAGACAAAGCCAACACTGAACAGCTGAGCAGCCAAGCGCTTGAAGCCAGCCCCCCAAGTCCGCTCGACCGGGGACATTCGGATCGGAGGAAAAAGCACCATGGTCAGCCCAATCTTTATGCTGAAGCTTATCGGCATGACCCAAAACGGCATGAGCGATTCCTCCTCCACCCATGCTTGGACCTGAGCAAGATGTTCCTTCATGTCCTTCTCTTTGGCTGCTTTCTCCGCGGCATTCTCCCGACTTCCCACGATTACCTTATCCGCATCCTCCTCCGGTTCTTCTGTTGAGGTCTGGAGTTCGTCCTCATTCTCCTCTTCACCCACCTCGCCTGTGTGCAGAGTGTGTGCATCCGTTGTAGCAGCCTCGAGCAACACGTCAGGGAGGACCCTCTCGGGGCGCACAGCCGCTGCGTGGTACAAGCTCAGGGCAGCGCAAGCGAGTCGGAAACTCGGCGACATGGAACAATCGCTATGATTGACAAGGCCTGTGTTTGGCAAATCTCTATTTGCATATATTGCTTGATCCCTATGGCAGTGTGACGCCGAGTGGAAACCATGGACTCACAGTTGCAGATCTCTCGTGACCCTTCATGCGCAAACCGCAGCGCAAAGAAAGCCCAGAGTCCATTTGCAGCACGAACCTGGGGATTTTGCACGACTGAAGAGACCTATGCTTCGTGAGCCACTTGTCGGCGTCCAGCAGAGGTATCAACAGCAGAGAGGAATCAGACAGAAACAGCTGTCAACAGCCGGATCTGTTGGAAAAGTCATGCGACAGTGAAACACCTACCAGTAACATGCAAAGACCCCAGCTTGCCAGCACTTGGTGACCATCGGACCCAACGTCCAAGGCCCAGCTGGCACCGTACGCTGCTTTGTGAAACTCCTGCACACGAAGCAGCATGGAGTGTAAGGATCACATGCAGAAGCCAGCCGATGGAGCTGCCGCGCGCTTAGCGAACCTGACAGTCGAACGGAATGGGACCATAATTACCCCTGAAGCTGGCGCACACTTAGCGAACCTAACCGTCGAGCACCTAACAGTCGAGCAGAATGGGACCGCACCCCTGAAGCCACAGAACCCCGAACATTGCAACCCTACACCCCGGAAAATCATTGAATTTAACCAGAATCCAACCCCCATCCTCAGCCCACCTCCGTGGCCGAGGATGGCCTCGGCTTTGCCTCGGCCTGCCAGAAATGTGGCGCGGTGGGAACAACGGCCCACTAGCTGTATATAGGGCTAGGGGCTTAAGAGGTTCAGGGCTGATAGCACGTAGGGATAGATGCTTTAGGTTGAAGGCTTGGGGCCGTAAATCCTCGGAAGCCTAGTGCTTTTTCAGAAACCGCACCCCGAAGGCCTGCAGATAACCCAACCAAGGCTCACATCCTGACGAACGAAAACCTCAGACCCCAACAAGCTGAGGGGATCGGCTTGGGGCTTTTCAAGCACCCCAATTGCTGAATGTTCGAATTTGAGCCCTAGATCATCATATCCTCGCGATCCCCAAGCCCCTAAACCCCAAGTAGGCGAAACCGCCTATAGACCACAGCTTAACCCCAATAAGCCCTGGCTGATCCAAACTGTTCGGCCTCTGTATTCTAGCATACAGTAATCCTTGCAGTTTGGGGTACCGGATCCACCCCAAGATTGAGGTATCCCAACCCCACCCTAAACTTTAACCACAAACCCCGGCCTTTGGGAGGATTGGCGCCAGTGGCGCCGAGTGGGGACGGGCGCGGCTGGTGGAACGGGGCGCCTCCTGCAGGGGCTTCTTGGGGCTAGTGCTCAGGGCATAAGATCTTGGCGGCGAAGAATATGAATAAAGCCTATCCAAGCGGGGCTTGACTTCAACCTTCGTGACGTGCAGTCTTTGAGGTTTGCAAGAGTATATGAGCCGGTATACAGTCAGTCCGCACGTCATCAGGCATTAAGTTTTTGCTGTCTTTGGTACGGGGTCTTGTCCCAAAGCTATGACCAGCCCCTTCGCGCCTGCCAAACAGGCAATTCCATGTGATGCCCCCGTTGTCCATCCCACTGAGGTATGGAACCGATACATACGTTCCCAACGCACCAAACGAGGGGCGCATTCATGCTTCATTTGTCCGATGTCTCCGCTAGAGATTTTTGCATGCCTCTGGCACGGATGGTCCGCACGACCACTTGCATAAACCCTGTGGCCCCATATGACCCTATCCCTAGAAATCTAAACGCTCCTAAGCCCCAAAAACCCCAAAAGCCCCTGCTCTAAGCCCAAAGCCCTATACTAAAACGCTGAATGCTCAACCCGAAACCCCAAAACAACAAAATAGACCCTAAGCTCCAGAAACCCCGAATTCCTGGGGCGCCGCCGGCGGGGTGGGCGCTTGTACCATTCGCCCACCCTGGCTCCGTGAGGAGGCAACCGCACTGGCCGAGCAGCAGCCTCCTTGGGTTTTTGGGGCTTGGGGGGCTTGGGGGTTTTGGGGCGTTTTGTGGTTTTTGGGGGCTCTTGTTGGAGGCTCTTGGGGCTTTGGGGGGTTTTGGGGGGTTTTGGGGGGTTTTGGGGGGTCTTGGGGGTTTTGGGGGGGTTTGGGGGGTTTTGGGGGGTTTGGGGTTTTGGGGTTTGGGCTTGGTTTTGGTTTCTCAGACGCTCCCGAAGGGAATTTGATATGCCTGTACGATGAATTCTTGCAGGGTGTAGGGTTTAGGGTTTGGGGTTTGAGGTTTGGAGTTTGGGGTTTATGGTTTTGAGTGCCATTCCGTATTCTTGCACCCTGCCGCAATCCGTTGCGATGCGTTATCCGTTTAGAGTTGGGTACTTCTCAATCGGGGGGGTTAAGATAATGAGGGCAAATAGTAGGATCCCCTTATACTGAGTGCGCCAATCAGGTACCCCTAATATCGTAAACCCCCATATACCCCCCAAAATGAACCCCCCCAACTCTTTATGGCAGGAAACCCCCAAAGATCCCCAGTTATCGCGGCACCTTTTGCGCGAGCCAAGGCCAGGGGACACCCCATTGTTAGGATCTTAAGTAGTTTCAGGCCCGGATCTTCCCAATCAGGCCAACAAAAAACTGGGAGCCTGACACAGCCCCTACACTCTAAGCGATAACCCGACATCCGGTAGCCCCATATAACCCATCATAGAACCCTACCATCATCCCTATGCAGACCCTGTCTAAAGCCATGAAGACAGCCCTCACCTACTTCCTCAGATTCTCTCCGAGCCGCGCGAAGAAGGGGGGCCCAGACCACTGAGAGGTCGGGAAGAAGGTACAGCTGTGCTAGCACCGGTCCTGAGGGAGTATATATGAGCGCATATAGGCGTTGGGTTTGGACGGGCGAAGGAGGGAGAGTTCAAGGCTTGAGGGGTTTAGGGGTTTAAGTGCAAGGCGGGAGGGGGGCGCTGGGTTAGTGGGGGTTTCTTGGTGTAAGGTATAGGGTTCAGGGTTTCAGGATTTAGGGGATTTAGGGGATTCAGGGCAGGGTTTGGCGTGCATTTGGGGGGATACCAGGAAGAAGCCCGAAAAGGGACCCCATGTACATAATTGCCTTGTGCCCCAAACCCTAAACCCTAAACCCCAAACCCTAAACCTTGTCTGAAGCCCCAAGGGTCCTCGAGGATCCCGGCCGGTAGCCCTGCGACTCTGGCTTGGCGCTGCTGGCCTCATCAGACTCACAGAACTTCCGTAATCATAGGGTTTAGGGTTTAGGGTTTAGGGCTTAGGGCTTAGGGCTTAGGGCTCAGGGCTCAGGGCTCAGGGCTTAGGGCTTAGGGCTTAGGGTTACAAAATACAGCAGCAAATAATAGTAGTAGTAATAGCCGTAACAATAATCGTAACAATAGGGTTTAGGAAGGTTAGGGTCTTGGGGTGGTTTTAGGGTTTAGGGGTTTAGGGTTTTTCGGGTTTAGTTTTTTTGGGGGTTTAGAGTTTTGGGGTTTTGGGTTTTGGGTTTGGGGTTCTGGGTGGGGGTGTAGGGGATTTGGGGGTTTGGGGGTTTGGGGATTAGGAAGTTTGGATTTTGGGGTTTGGGTTTAGGGTGTTTCCCCGCGCAGCGGCAGTAAATATTATCTGGAGATGGCCCCAACAAAAACTCTCACCGCAAGCCTCAAAGACACTCAACCCGAAACCCCCAAAGCAGTTCTAAACAAACCCCTGAACCCTAAAGCCCTAAGCCGCTAAACCCTATTAACCCTCAACCCCTAACCCCCTAAAAACCGCCAAGAAAAGCTGGGCCCAGGGGCCGAAGAGCTCGCTGGGCGCGGCCGATGCGGCGTGGGAGGGCGGAGCTGCCGTGCGTGAATTGTCGCTGGGTCGATCCAGATCCTTAGAGCATTTGTGGAGCTTCACGGGCCTCAGGGTTAAGGGCATCGGGGTTTAGGACGTTAAGATGGGGTTTGGGGGTGGTGCCGGAGGGCTCAAGGATCTAAACCCTAAACCCTAAGACATCCTGCCAAGGCTCCGGTTGGCGCTACCCGGGCGGAACGGTCTGGGCGCGTACCGTGGCAGAGTGGCACCAGGATCCTGGTTGTCCTTCTGCGTCTGCGCCACCCGGAAGTAGGTGGGGATGCGCTCCTCCCCCTCCATGTTGCCAAAGAACCCTGCCTGGACTCCCCAAACACGTCTCTGTGTGTGTGTGTCTGTGTGTGTGTGCGTGCGTGCGTGCGTGCGTGCGTGCGTGCGTGCGTGCGTGCGTGCGTGCGTGCGTGCGTGCGTGCGTGCGTGCGTGCGTGCGTGCGTGCGTGCGTGCGTGCGTGCGTGCGTGCGTGCGTGCGTGCGTGCGTGCGTGCATGCGTGCGTGCGTGCGTGCGTGCGTGCGTGCGTGCGTGCGTGCGTGCGTGCGTGCGTGCGTGCGTG